AGGACTTGGAAATATCAGCCCAAAGACTCTCCAAGTAGATCTCTAACTGCATCAGACGGTGCTACCAAATTCGTAACATGATCCCTCCAGCCTCGATCCGTACACATTCCCCGAGATCCATCTCCTCCTCCATCACCTTCCTCAAGAATGTCCCCATTTGAGATCTGCAGAGCAGCGACATGGGCATCAGTCCACATCTTTGCAGAACATTATGCAATCAGCAGGGACTCCACCTTGGATGCCATCTTTAGCTCTCTCATCTGTGACTAACCCACCCCCCAAAGTCCCAGCCCTCCAAGGGGGGTACTGCTCAGGAGTCACCTACAGTGGAGCACCCATAAGGGGACACATCTTGAAGAACAATCAATACTGAACCATCATTACTGAACAAGGTAGCTTCTTTTATATACATGTAACATTCAAAAGTTTTCAACTTTAATATTTTTCAAAAATCCTTGAGTACAACAGTATGGAAGTTAACAATGAATAATACCACTTGGGATAACTTGAGTTTATTGTAACCTATTGCTTCTAAAGCAACTGAGATTCCCATATGATTAAAAACCAGTTTGTTAATTGCCAGTTTGCTTCAATATAATCATCCAATGCTTGCTTCATGCCTGGTATACATATGCTTATGTTGCTCTGCCATAGTACTTTATTGCAAAGGATGCACAAGCTAAAAGGCTGGCTAATTTTATGCTCACTATTAACATTTTTAGCAATGTAAATGGAGATAATAAAGCCAATCAAATCTCACACTCCACAGTATAGGCTGATTATCTGCCGTGGTGATAAAGAATGTTTCCCTCCATGTACAGCACTGCACAGTTAGCTAAGTGCTTATGGGAGACTTCCTTTGGCACAGATATTGGCCGCTGCCCAGGTCAAGATGCTGGATTAGTTGGACTAGTGGTATCCAAGTCAATATGGCAAATTTTATGTTGATTTGTTTGAAAACTGTCCATTCACACATCATAAATGTTATGTTGATTGATATACAAATTCTTAGATTGACACATACATGAAATCTGGAAGGAGTTCTGATGTCCAATATGAGTTTTGACATATGGAACCAAAAGCAGACAAGCAACTGTTTATTTCAGGGGGGGGCATTATGTCTTTTCATTATAACATATCTAGGGTGACCAGATGACAAGAACAAAATATTGGGACACATGGGGAGGCAGCCACAGGCTCACCCCCCCACCAGGGCCAGCTCTAGGTTTTTTGCCACCCCAACAAAAAAAAAAAAAAAAAAGCCAGAGTACATCAGTCGGGACGCAGGACAAACAACTAAATAGCGGGACAGTCCCGATTTTATCAGGACGTCCGGTCACCCTAAACCTATCACAATCTAATTTCTCTTTCCAGCATATTTCTTAAATCAGCTCTGAATTAGAGTCATATGTTGCTCAAGGATCGCAAGAGATTTCTGTAACTCATAGAAAATCTAGTGAAATCTTTAAATTGATCAAGGCTCTAATATCTGCACCCCCTTATGCTCGCCCCAGAAAGTTATGTATACACCTGAAAAATGCATGCTAGATCTATAAAGTGTACATAGACTAGCTGTGAAGGTTGTGGCATTTATAGTATAAATTATGAATGATTAAAATGAAGTGTATTTTAAGAGCTGGTAGCTGAAAACCAATGCAATGTACTCTTAATCCAGTAGCATTGCCTTGAGCTACTCTGAGGCCTCTTTTTAAACTCAAACATTAGCACAAAGCACACCTCTGACTGCAGGCATTTAAAGATCAACAGGGGCCAAAAAAGCTTTTAAGATCCAGTGAAACCAGGAAAACAACCATGTTCCCTTTCAGTGTCAAGTTAGATTGCCGTCTTACGAGTGCAGCTATTTCAGGTACAGAGTGCTTAGTGGTTTGGGTCTTGTTGTGTGGAGAAAGTGTTCCATGGAAAACATCTGTTTCTTTCACCTGCAAACCACAATGTGCTGTGAAAAGGCAGGACTGTAACCACAGAGACCCAAGGGGATGTGGGAAATCTGGCTCATAGGGATGAGCATGATTTTCTGAAACATGGTATCGAAAAGAACACTTAAAAGGAGAGGATGCTTTTAAAGCATATGATACACCGCAAATTGGATAGATCAGGTTGCTTTTAAGCTTGAAGTTCTTACTGGATGCTCTCATTATGTTCATAATGGTAATTGTTCAGTTCTGCTCAAAATCGTGACAAAATATGTATATATTTTGCAGTTACTGTAAAATTCTCATTGTTTTACTACAAGAGAATTAATTCTTGGTGGGGAAAAAAATCAATTGACAGTCAACTACTGTACAGAAAACAGAACTTCTTTAGTGACTATAAAATGCACAGTACAGCTGGTGTTGTTCTGTTAGTGCTCTCATTACATATTTTTCAGTCTAAAATCAGATGCAGATTTCATATGTGTTGTTACATCCGATGGCCAGATCCTCTGCTGGTGTCAGTCATCAGAGTTCAGTCAAAGTCAATAGAGAACTTACATGCCCTGATGATTGGCCCTTAATTCGTTCTGAAAATATTTATCATTGAATAAGGGGTCAGATCTTCAGCTGGTGTAAATCAGCGTCACTCCATTGGCTTCATGGAGTGCTGTGAATTTACACCAGCTCAGGATCGAGTCCAAAGATGGTTACCATTTGGGATTGTTGTTCGATGTCCCAAGCATTTCAAGCATTGTGCTGTTTTGAGGTGTAACTTCCATTGGTTTAGATAAATTCTGGAACAGTCTCATGTTCTTTTGATTTATCAGGTGAATCAGTGTAGCGTAGTGTAGTTTCTTTCCCCCACCTAAATTCCATGTTCTGTTTATATGAACTTACTGGGTACAGGTTAGCATTTTTATTAGTTAACTCTGTATCAGAGCCAGCAAGCTGAACATCAAGAGTGAGGGAAAAGAGGCCAGAAACAGACTGAAACTTCCAGAAAGATGAAAAATCATCAAAATGGAGTGTGACAGCAGGATAGGTTTAAAAAAAAATACAAGTAAAAGAGAGAGAACCCTAGGACCACCTGGTTAGCATCCCAGAATACTGAGAAAGGGGTTGAATTAAATAATAATACCCCTAAGCCAGAGCTAAGACTTGCAAGTCAAATCTCCAACACTAGAGAAGCTTCTAGAGGTATTGATCATTCACAGATTAAGGGAACAGCTGCAGATTGGTCAAGCAGGAGGTCATCATTAATAGAGAAGCAACACAAGAGAAGAGCACCACTGCTGTTCCAAAACCATAGCGAATCATCCCCTTTATAAAGAACAATTAGGTGGAAGGAGATTGCTCAGTAGTGTAACTGCAGACATCAGATTTAGAATATTTATACTACTTGGTATAAAAGGCTCAAAGAAGCCAGCAGAATTAAGACAAACTTGTCCTTTTAAAGCAGATCGTATGAGTGTGTGGGTCAAGTCTTATCTGCTCTGCGTGGACATTAAAAATCCCCTGGCATGTTTTCTAGGAGTAAGGAGTTGCCATGGTTAAAATTTACCCTCTTCCCCTGTTTTTGTTCTGTCAGCTGAGTGCTGCCCTCTGCCCCAAAAGTGGCTACATTTCAGTGTCATAGTAAGTATATGACAGGTTTCAGAGGAACAGCCGTGTTAGTCTGTATTCGCAAAAAGAAAAGGAGTACTTGTGGCACCTTAGAGACTAACCAATTTATTTGAGCATGAGCTTTCGTGAGCTACAGCTCATGGTTTGCTTACCATTTCAGGTGCTGCAGGTCACTAGCCTCTGTGAAAATGAGGCTATTTATTTAGATGGCTAAATGAAAATTTAGGTGCCTAACTTTAGACAACCAAATTCGAGCATGTTGGCCCCAAAGCTACATCATCCATCCATGGTGTAACCCCACTGAAGTAAGCAGAGCTGCTCCCTAGATGAATGAGGCCTCTGTAGTCTAGACATTCTGAACAGTAATGTGACAAAACTGTAGAAAAAGGAAACACCCTTAATAATACATAATTCCTTGGATTTATTTTGCTGACTCCTTTTTTCAGCCATATATCAATGCACAGGAGTAACTATTCCCTAGCATATTTCCTTTTATCCTTAATAAATCTGTGTTAATGGTGTTCATTTCATCTGACTTGGTAGAATACCTACAGGTTTTATTTTTTGTTTAATCTTACAGGGAAGGATGACTTTTGTCACTAAGACACAGGACTTGGGAGCCAGGAGATATGTGTTCTGCCCCTGCTGCTGCCTGTGTGACCTTGGGCAAACTTGTCTTGGTTTCTGCAGTCTATAAATGGGGGATAATAATATGCAGCTATTCCTCAGGGTGCTGTGCTGCTGTGCTTATTGCTGTTTGTAATGCACTTTGAGATCCTTGAATGCAAATCTGTAGTAGTGCAAACCACAATTTTATAGCTTACACTTTCAGATTAATTACAGTACAGCCATATAATATGTGCAGACTTCAGATGTAAGCCTTTTCAGTACGGAGATGCTTACCAGCACACAGACATCAGGGAGCGTACCCTACAGAGTTAAATATCCAAACAACTTAGGATCCCTGGAGAGTCAAGCTCCAGACTGAACACTATTGTCACTTTAAATCAATAACCATGGATTGCAAAGAGTGGCATTACTTCTACTTTGTGTTGAGAGAAATTTCCCAGTCTGTCTCATTTAAATGATGGGGTTGCCATTCTTCATATCAGAAGGCTTGCATTTGCTACCATATAAAGAAACTTAAACAGTGCTCAGTGAGGAACTGGTCCCGAAATCCTTATGCAGGCCAAAGTCCCATTTACCTTTAGTGCCCGAGTTGGGGCTGCAAGATCAAGCTTGTTGTGAGACTGCTTCCAAAGACACCATTGCATATCTAAAAGCAGCTTATAACCTCACAGTGTGTGTCATCAAAGACACAATGAATGGGGCTAAGGTAAATGATGCAGCAGAGTATTGCATAGTATGGTATTTCAATCACATGGATTAGAAAAAATAATCAAATAAATGGCTTTCTAATGGCATTCCCTCTTCCTCTTCCAGAGGCCATGGTCAAGGATGATATGAACAACTACATCAGTCAATATTACAATGAGCCCAGCAGTGGTGAGTTTTCTTTAAAGATTTAAATTTAAACTGAATTGCAGAGTATCAGACATGTGTAACTGCTGTATTGCACTGAATGACATAGAACAAGCAAGACTGAGCGATTAAGTAGATCAGCCTGGGAAATTAAACCAATCTCTAAACCTATCATGTTTTCCATGAAAGTTTATATCAAGGTGATAGTCTCTAAAGGATAAGGGACCTGATCTTGCTCCCACTGAAGTCATCCATAATGGTTTCAAGATCCAGGTGTGCATTTTTCCTAGAGTAAGTTATCCAGTCAATAGAGTGGTTCAAATGGCCATGGAAAAGAAACCTAGGGAGGAAATAAATGAATAGAAAATCAGCTGGAAGTTAACTTGCTGGGAACCTTTTAGAAACCCCTTGCTGGGAACCTTTTAGAAAGGCTAAACTGAATGAATGAAGAATAAGAAAACTCAATGCCAGACAACATTGACTTGTGAGCAGAAGCACTGCATCATACTTCAAATGGATTTTTTACTTTGTGTTGAATTGTAGCCACTAAAGGGTCATAACATATTTTGCACTGCACTGAACAGCTTTCATACACGAATACCCAGTAGTTTGGATTTTAAAAGGTATGCAATAAAGCAAATAGTCAAAGCAGTTCACTTGACTCTGTGCAAATTTGGTTAACAAAAATACCACTGCTTGTGTGGCATTTTTATGTTCCACTTAAAAAAATTTATTCCCAAATGTGTTTAAAAATAATCAGGAGTATATCAGTCCCATATACACCTTCCTGTGTCCGAGTGACCACAGATTCCATTATGGGACATTTGCAAATACAGTATTTTTTGGATACACAAATTTTAAACTGTAAGCTCTTTGGGGTAGGGGCTGTCTTTTTTTGTTCTGTATTTGTACACCACCCAGCACGATGGGGTCCTGTTTTATTACTAGGGCTCCTAGGCACTACAGAAAATACAAATAAAATATTTCTATGAATGTAATCAGCTCTCTCCACTTATCAAACAATTTTACATGAAAATATGCTGTCGAGACTATCTTCACAGATTTCAGAGACAGGCTATTTTCAATAGACATTTCTATTATTTTACTTACAGACAGTGGAGTTCCTGAAGCTGGTATTTGTGTCATTACCACAACAGCCATTGACGTGCACCACCCCAACATATCTTCTGACCTGTTCACAGTGGAAGTGCCCATAAAGATAGGAAGTAATGGAACTTCTGTTAGTGTCACATCAGGCAGTGCCTCCAGATCTACAGACAGCTCTGTAACCAGAGCCCAGAGTGACAGCAGCCAAACCTTTGGCTCTTCCACAGACTGCAGTACCACCCGGGAGGAACCCTCTGAATACTGCCCCTTAGACAGGGCTGGGAATGCAAAACATGATCAAATGGAATCTGCAAGGCATAGGGTCAGCAATGCAGTAGTTCAGGAACTGTTATCATCATTGTCAGAGGATTCTTGCTTGACACAAAAAGGCTTAGATCCAGTCAACCTTAAATTGCCTAGTCCAGCAGGGTCCACCAAAGCCAGTCCTGAGCTGGAACATAGAGTGAACATTTACAACAAGAAGAACCAAGAGAGCTTTGATGTGCTCCAGATTAAGCCAGTTATTCACCTTCAGCAAACTGCCTCGGTGATCAATGAAAAGTACAAATCTTTGGAATCCAAAGAGCAAAAGATGAATAGGGTCCCAGATTCATAGTTCTCCACAGTGGTAGAAAAGGACGAGACATTCTAGAGCTTTAATGGCGCCCTCAGAACAATCACTGGCTGGATATCTTGCTCCTTGCGTGGTTTGAATGAATTGAATATTCATAAAATGCATGAGTTCTGAGAGCCAACATGAATCCATGACACTTCTAGCTTCAGAGGTCCTCAGGCCAATCCCTGGATGAAGAGAAAACGTTCTATATTACAAAACAATGACCTCAAAGATGTACATATTCTTAATCTTGGTTTTGTGAGGTTTTTTTAAAAATACAACAACAATTTTTATGGAACTCTGATCAGCCTTCTATCAGGTCAAGCTTCAGCAGGGTATGGTACATGCAGATGTAAACTTCTCCTTCTACGATTTCTTACTGTCCCTTTGTACATGACAATAGCTGTAAACCCCTTTGTACAAATTCTGCAATTATTTTTGTTCTTCCCAAAATCTTTTTTCAAGGAGCACTTTGGGTGATGCAGATTAAAGGGAAAAAGTGTGATCTGTTTTTATTTTAGCATGAGCTCTTTAAAAACAATATTTTGGAAAAGAAAATATCATTTTCACTTCCAAGTCAACACGAGTGAAAAATGGACATTTTGCAAATTCAATTTTAATTAAAAAAACCGAACAAATAAATGTTCATTCAGTGTTTTTATTCACAGATTTGTAGGTAAGCTAGATTCATGAGATAATTACTGTGGCTTTAAATCTTCCATTTTGGAAAATATTTTAATCTCATTTACATTTGACTCTGAGTTTAATGAAGTAGTACATTGAACTCACTTGAATATACAGTGACTATTGAAAGTGGACACAAACTTTTTTTTATCGTCACAAGAACTTTTAAGACAGTTCAGCTCCTTAAGACAATTTGAAAGTTAATGCTAAGGTTCTCCTCTAACCTAGTAGTATCTAGCAGCAGGTGTAATGCCTTTGGCCCAGATCCTCAGCTGTGGCTGAGGAGTACACAGTACAACACAGGAGTTTATGCCAAGGTAGATAGGCCAGCTATGTGCTCAGCTCATGCCCAGGGATAAGTTAGGAGAGCCAAAAGGCTGCTTGCTGTAACTTAACCAATATGGAGACCAGACCTCTTTTCCCCAGCTGCATACCGCCTAAAGGCCACAGGGAGAGGGCTGGCATAAGGACCAGTACACCAGTTGTATGCCACTGGCAGATCCCCCTGCAGTGGGGTCATCCTCCCATAGCCAGCTGTTATTATTTATTATTATTTGCATGCCAGATTTAAGACTTATTTGCACCAGTGGTATGACCCAAAGCAACCACAGTACAGCTTAGAGCATGAGGCATTGAGGTTTTTTTTTTATTTATTTATAGTTGAATTGTTTACAATTTACAGAACAGATCCAGTGAAAATCCATGTGCTTTTCTGTCCCTTTTAGGTACAGCGCTGGTTTTATGGGAAGGTGTATTGATCAAATCCACCTTTAGAAGTATTAGGGGCCCAACTGTCCTGGCAAACACACATATGCAGCTCCTAGGGTTTCAGTGGAAGTTACCCATGCACTGTCAAGGACAGTCAGGCCCTAGAACACTTGCCCATATGTGAAAATTGGACATTGTCAAAGGCAACGATTGGTTAATATCTCAGGAAATTATCCATTTTATGGTCTACTTGCTAGACTGGAGCACTTGCAAGTATTTCAGCTGTCAGTTGGGATAAGAACATAGGACCTGCCATTAGCAGGTCAGACCAATGGTACATTAGTCCAATAGCCTGTTTTCATCAGTGGCCAGTTCTGGGTGATTCGAAGGAAGGAGTAAAACCTGCACAGTGCACTTAACTGTGTATTACTGTACCATGAAGAGGAAGGAGACTTTCTGACCTCAGCTGGTGATCTGCTTATGTTCCCTAGCTAGCAAAACTGCTGCTGCTGGTTTTAATCATATAAAGTTTTAGGAAACTTCCTTTTGCATCCATAATATTTTGCATCATGGGGTTGCATTATAAGTGATATCCATGTTCTAGTTTTAATTTGCGGCACCCTAATTTCAGTGAGTGCCCCCTTATTCTTCTGTTAGATGGCTGTCTAGAAAACGAATTCACAAAACACAACTGTTTCTGCTCATAAGACTAAGTGGGCAGTAAAGGCCAGTTTTTCAGGAGTGCTCATCATTCACAACTGGGGCCAGGTTTTCAAAAGAGCACAGCTGCTCTGTAGGCACCTGAGTGGGAGCTGCTGGGTGGTACCTTTGAAAATGGCCACAAATGGGGTCAGTCAAAAAGCTCCCCAACAGAAAAGGCACAACTGCTTTCCCTTTTTTTTGTTTTAAGCCAGAGATCCTTGCAAGCTAGCCAACTGCAACTTTCTGTGTTTTTAATTGAAGTATGTGATGTCTGGCTTTAATGAAAAGCCATATATGGTCCTACTATTTGCTAGATGGATACACTTCTCCACCATACCATTCCCCAAACTTGTACCTGCTTCCCTAGGGAAAGTTAAAAAGGAGACATGAGTTTCCATAAGGTTCCCCTTCAAAGTAGCTCTACCCTGGATGCTTCATTTATATATTTGGACAATAAATGCTTATTCATTTGCATTTTGCTGAGTCTTGTGGAGAGCGTGGTGAGTGAGTGGAATGAGCTTCCAAGTGAAGTGGTAAAGTTAAGTACTAATATCTTTAAACAAAAATTGGATGACTGTGTGGAATTTGATAGATTGAAGGGGATCGTTAGTTCTGTGCTTGGGAGAAGCCAACTTCCTTCTTGGGGACTGGAGGGAATTTTGCATTGATCAGTCTTTTTCCACAGATCAGCAATGGATTTTTTGCTTTGTATGGGAGCATTTTGTCTTTCAATGACACACCCAGCTTTTAAAAAGTATCCAGTCAAACACTCCTTCCAGGCATGCAGTGTTCCTGGCTGGCATTTGGTACTGTACAGCTGTGTAACTATTTTTTAAAAAGCCAAGACAAACACTTATGCATGAGCTTAACTTTACTACTGAGAGTAGTACTAGAGATTTGTTACTAACAGCAGTAAAATTAAGCACGTGAGTAAGTGTTTGCAGGATCAGGACTGAAGAATTCATTTTTATCAAATTGTGAAGTATGTTAACACAACGAAACGTGCATATAAAACACTTCTGTAACCCATGCACGCTGTGGGTATTTGTAATTTACATAGATAAGTAGCCAGTCCTAAGTGCCCTCTAAGCTGTGTAGCCACACAGCCGGCTATAAAGGGCTGCAGCAGCAGTGGACGGGGACTGGGGAGGGGAGCAAGTTGGGGTGTGCAGGGCTGCCACAGTTCTGGGAGCTCACTTGCTACTGCCAGCGGGGAGGGAGGGGCCCCGCCCCCGGAGCTCGCTGCTGTCGGCAGGGAGAGGGCTGGGGGGAGTTCTCTGGCCCCAGGCCCAGGGCAGCCTGCCTGCACCCCCCCCCAGCTGGAGCCCTCACTCCACCCCCACCCCAATGCTCTGCCCCAGCCCTTGAGTCCCCTCCCACCCCCCTGAACCCCTCATCCCCAGCCCATCCCAGAGCCCTCACCTCAAGCCGGAGCCCTCACCCCCTGCACCCAAACCCTCTGCCCCAGCCCTGAGCCTCCTCCCACACTCTGAACCCTTTGCCCCCCACCCCCATTAATTTAGTTATGTGCACCAATATGAACGTGGTTTGTCACACATCACCTCCATATGGGTGCACATAACAAAATTCATTCTGCACATGAGAGGAAAAAATTAGAGGGAACAGTGGCGGCCACTGCATTAAATACGTTTATGAAGTTCAGTGTATACCTTGCAAGGTAAGTGTGGTATGACAATGACAAACATATTACTCATAGTAACCTATACTCATTTTCCGCCATGCCACAGGGGGAAAAGCCTGGGAGAAAGCATGGGGGGAAGGGAAGTGATACTAACAAGCTAGCTGACCTGGCACCAGATCTTGATTTAATGTGGGTATAATTAGAAGAGATGAGATTTAAGTTTCCAATATCATAATTTAATGAGTGAATCCAGCTTCAGGGTGGTAGAAGGCTGTATCCACTAAGGTTAACATCTGTTCAGCGTACAGTGCTAAAAATAGCTGCCCATTCTTACATACACTGCTCAGATCTTATTCAATTTAAATATTACGGTATCACAGCCTGCGTGGGCAGAATAAAATCATTTGGGGTTATTTCTTCCATTTTCCTCACTGCCAATTATTAGGATCCCTCAGAGGCTGTTGTGTAAACTAAAGAGCAGGCGGCTTTGGGAGTCAGAAAGCACATCATAAAGACAGCTCAAAGTTCCAGTATTCCAATATGCATTCCAAGTTCCAATATTCTAACCCCTGCTTCTTGCACCCTAACTGCTAAGGCAATATGGCAGGCAGCATCAGCTCTCTGGTCTCCCATCTGCCCATCACCAACTAACGCGTCAGAAAATTAGCTAGGCCACAAAAGCTGTTTGTTGATCTTCATGAGCTACAGAAATTGAATTAAAAAAACCAAAGAGCTCAACTCGTTTGGCTTGAGAGCTCATTATAATGATAAGCCCTCTGTCACCTAAGAGAGCTGCTGTTACTTGAAACCATCTTCCTCATTCTTGCATTTGGACTTATATTACCTGGCCTGTTACACAAAGGATTTTATTTATTTTGTTTTATTTTAAGCATTTTGGTCAAATTATTTTGTTCTCAGGACCTGGATCCTTTGCTTTTAAATTACTCGCTGACAGACAAGTTCATTGTCTGGGATCAGCCAAGGAGAGTCTCATTCTCTGCTGACATCCCCCCGCATTTCCCACCCCCATCCCGGCTGCCCAACGGGGTCAAGTTAGTTCACAGTTCTTCTGCCTTTTCCCTGCATGTAATTATACATAAGGGATGCTGCTCCCCCACCTCAGAATAATAGAAGACACCCATACCAACCAGGGAAAGCAATCACACGTAACAATGTCTACAAACCAGAGGAACAATGTTAATAGTTCTAGTCATTGGGCTGTAACTGTATTAGAGATCATGCTCCTGAGGTGTGCTAATCACACTGTAGAGCAGTCCAGGGGTTAATCACACAGTTGTGTTTTGATATTGATCACATCTGAGAAGAGAATATGATCTAATGTGTTCTACATTATGTGCTGCAATGCACATCCATTGTAGTGATTCTATGGACCAAGTAAGGAGCCAGAATTTGCAGGTGAAAAATGTATTCATGTCCTTACTGTTGTTTCAGTATATATGTATTTTTGTGATCACCCCACCCCCGCTACTCAATGATGTGATCGTACTGCCTTGCAAGTCTGAAACTAAATGAAACAGATACTTGGAATGCCTGGGTACCAAGGGAGCTGTTTCTCACAGCAACAAACCACATGAAAGCTCTCAGAACATCAGCTCCTCCTTATGTGAATTGGTTGCAGCTCCCAGACTGCAGGTAATAAAGGCAAGTACCCAGTTTGTTGCTAAGATTACCCATAGGATTTGTAAAGCAGGAGGGTTATTCTCAGAATACCTCCCTACTTTACCTCCGTTTGGCTTCTCAAATGCATGAGCACACCAGCACTTTTTATCTTAAGACTTTTGGAATGTATTTAATGTTTATAGAAGTAGAGGATTAATAGTGAGAGCCACATCCAGTGCAGACAGAGCCCAAGATTGCCCGTTCTGCCTTACCAGGACACCTCAGGCATGACTTGAAACGTCCCTGAGATTCCAGTGCGGGGGCGGGGGAGAGTTAAGCAGAGGCTGCCAGTTTGAAGTTCAAATCAACATTGTTATTAACAGCATCACAGATGCAGAAGAGAATGATTGGGAAAAGCAAGGACTCAGCAGCCTCTGTGACATCTGTCCATCCACATCCCAAACCTATTTTTGCTGGAGCAGCGTCAATGCTAGTGGTTCCAACAGCAAGCAGCATTGTGTAATGTTCTGGTCATGTGGCTTCATGAAGGTATGAGGCTGTTGAAGGGGAGGCCAGACCCAAGCTCTCCCTCTCTCAGGGTGCAAGTTTGGTCCTGATCCGAGTCCCGTGGATGACAAGGGGCATTGGAGCAATCCCTGAAAACATCTAGCCAGCCAGCCCTACCAAAGATTTGTTTTCCAGAGACCATGTTTGGAATTCTCCCACCCACCCAGAACTGAGGTTGATTTTGTTTGGAAGGAAAATACTGGAGGGGAGTGTCCCTGGGGCAACCCAGCTACATGGGGTTCAAGTAATTTTTCAGAGGTGTATTCAGGCAGTTCTTTGCTCATCATCAGTGGAGCTTCCTGTACTCTGTTTGTTCTATGTTGTGTTTAACCAGGAGTAAGTGAGTCCTTCCTTTCTCTGCTTAGTTGATCCCCTAGCAGTGATTCATGTATCAATCCTGGGAGCCTGGAATGTCTACCTTAGTGCAAGTTACAAGCACAGGGTTGCAAAGGAAGTGGCAGGAACTATTTATAGCTGAACGCTCAGGCAAACATGAG